GTCGCAGGGGTTGTTCAGCTAGCTGGTTTTTGGGTAGGAACGTTTTGTGATAGCTTAGTTCACCTCTGCGATTTGGAGTGCTTCATCAGAAACGATCCTGAATATTTTGCAGCCACCTATGCGCGTGTGTCACTCTGTCCCCAAATTTCATCCCCAAATCCGCCTCGTTGTTTTTGGTACTAGATTATTTCACTTCAGTGAATGAGAGCTACTTTTTGGTACTAAATTATTTCAGTTTTAAGCATGTTCTGTACATTATTCAGCTTATTAAGTAATTCCTTCATCATGGAGATGGTTTTGCTTCTCAGGCCCGAGTTTTGGGAGCAAGTTCACAATTATTTTTGGTGTGTTTTTTTCACATTAAAACGAACGGACCTGAATTTTTCCCGTTACCTGTTATGTATTGGCTATTATAATTTTTCAGTATGTTCTGGTGATCATGTTTTGCATTGTAGTGCCTCCAATTCAGGTTTGTTCGAAGTCACTTTCTTCAGGGGCCAACAGTAAAAAATCAGAGCACCCCTGAATTAGTTTCTCTGAACACACCTGAAGAAATCAACATCTACCAGGAGACGGGTCGGCTAGGTTGCGCGCCAGTTGTGAAAGATCGATGTGCCTCGAAGATGGGAGGGCCTGTTTTTTGTTTAGTTCTTTCTTGCAATGGATATAGTTCAAAATGAAGTTCAACTGCAGCAAACTCCAATTCATATTTTTGAACTACAATGCCTAAAAATCACTTATCCAATCAGGGAGGTTAGACAACTTGTCAGGTTGTAGTAGTTTTTGTTCACAGTTCATATTATCTCCTCTTTTTTCTTTCTATATCATGCAACAGTTTTTTGTTTGTTAGTTCTTTTTTTAGGTGCCTGTTGATTTTTACATATCTGTTTTTTCAATAATATTTTCATGGGGGGTTGTTCTTGACCTGTGTTTTGGACATCTGATCTTTTGTCATGGCTATTTTTTGTTTTCATATTCGTTTCATTCTTGATTTTGCTTTCTGTAACATAACCTTAATTTTCGCAGAGATGATTGTGGATTTTTCCCAACGAAGATAATGGAGATATGGGAACCAGCTTTGGATCCGCGGAAGCATTTCTCACAGGATGATATCCAGAATATAAGGATTCAATATATGAATCAACTATTCTTTTGGAAGAAAAACACCGCAGACAAGAGGCTTGTCACTGATTTCAACCTACAGGTTTTTCTTCCTTAATTTTTATTCATTTTCACTTATATATATTATATATATTTAAAGTTGTTTTGCATTTTTCATTATTTTTGTGATTTTAACTGTTGTCTTACTTTCTCTATGTGATTCTCCTCTCTTTTCTTTTCTACAGGGTGATTTCGTCGACAATCCTGCATGATAGCTTTGGTTTCTCTATGTATTTTGGGCCTGTTGGACGTATATCAAGAGAAAGAAAGTTCGCCTACTTTTTTTCCGATGTCTCACAAAGAACTTTTTTTTAACACCACAAAGAACATTGTTAGTGGAGGGGGATAGGGGGGAGTTTTGTCTTGGACGTACAAACACCTCACGCCCGTTGTAAATGGGGGAGTTTTGTCTTGGATGTGCAGACACCTCATGCCTGTTGTAAATGGGGAAGTTTTGTCTTGGATATACAGACAAGCCCTTTTTTGTGCCATGCGCGTGCGTTGAACAGCGATGACGGCATGGTTGTTGCCGGATATGTCAATTCTATTTTTGTTTGTTCGCGTTATATTGACTTTTTTAGCAGTAGTGCTTTCTGAATTTAGTGCTCATGGATCATTGACTGTTTGGCTGGCCAGGGAGGAGCTATGTTTTTCTTCATAGCATTTTTCTGTTTCTCCTGTTTTTTGTTCAACTTTTGCACGACGCCATCTTTTTTTTGTTCTTTTGGTAACATAGGCTCTTACAGGTCAAGCTACAAGCCAAGCAGTAACAAAAGCAAACAAATTCTGCATATGCCCATCAGTTTTCAATCGCCCGTGCAAGCATTTTTGTTTTGGTTCAGCATAGATACCAACAATTTTTTCTCTTCTTTTTTCAAGTTTTCCCATTCAACATTTCTCGAAAAAAATTGTAAACCTTTCTGTCAATCTTTTTTGCTTTATCTTTTTTCTGAAGTTTATACAATGACTGATAAAATAGTATCTTTTGTTACTTTTTTTTCATTCTTGCAGGTACAAGCAAAGAAAATCAGAGTTGCAGGTCAGGAGCTTTTTCATTTTCATCATTTTCATTTTGAAGCTGAAGGGGAGCCTTGGCGCAGTGGTAAAGCTGCTGCCTTGTGACCATGAGGTCATGGGTTCAAGTCCTGGAAACAGCCTCTTACAGAAATGTAGGGAAAGGCTGCGTACTATAGACCCAAAGTGGTCGGACCCTTCCCTGGACCCTGCGCAAGCGGGAGCTACATGCACCAGGTTGCCCTTTTTTTTTCATTTTGAAGCTGGATATTTTCTCGAGGATGCTGCTGCATTCTCTCACTGCTGCAGTTGCAAACCGACATCAGTAGTTAAGTTCCTGGTGATGATGTCTTAGCTTTTCTTCCTCTCAACGTTCTGTTGCCCTGCATATAAGTTCCACATCTTTTGTCCTTTTTTCCGATTTTATTTTATTCTTTCCACCCTACCTCAAGTCTTGGTGTGTTGGTTGACGTGTCGGTGTTTTCCAATACTTGAGCCACCTCTGTTTGTGGTAAATGTACCAGAGCTTCACCCTCATTACCTGCTTGACCGATGTCACTAACATACGAGCACGACTCCTGCCCCTGCACACGAGTTTGCACAAAGTTTATCTCATTTTTTCCCTTAGCATGTGTTTTTTTTGTTGTTTTTAAAAATCAATTTTAAATGTTTCGCGCACCTGGGCATTGATGCTGTGAGAGCCTCTATTTAGGTCAATATAACCCCGCAACAGCGCAACATAAGAGAAGTTTGGCTTTTTCATCATCGTCAATATTTCTGTCGGTTTCCAGACGTAATTTGCAAGGCATAAAAAATAAGCAAAAAATAAGAAGCATTTTTTTCATCCATTTTTTGCACCTGCATGAATATAGTTTCTTGGCTTCCAAGGCATTGATCCTGGATATCCTCATTCCCACTGTCATTCACCTATAAAATTCAGTCTCTTGTAAATACAATATGAACTCAAAAACAAATATGTGAGCAACAAGCATCAAGCATGGAAATTGCAGATCATGTCTCTTTTGAGTCTTCTTTCTTCAGTCTTTAGGAAGTGTTTGTTTCTTCAGTCTTTAGGAAGTGTTTGTTTCTTCAGTCTTCTTTTCTCTGCCTTCAGTCCTTCACTTTCCAGTGTTTCTTGAGTCATCTTACTATTCAACCACCATTCTGTCTTGTTTATTCAACCCTCTTTTCTCTCTATCTCTAGTTCTTCAGTTTTCCGTCTCTTTAGAATCTTTGTTTCAGTGTTTCTGTAGTCTAGTCTTCAGTTTTCAGTACCTTTATATAATTTTGTTTCAGTCATTAGTGTTTCTTTTATTCTTTTAGTTTTCATTACCTATTAATCTGACCTCAGCTCAATCTCTTTAATCAGTACTCGTGCTAGTATTTCCTTAGTCTGTGAGCCTGCATCATTGTTCAGTCACACTAAATTTTGTCAATTTTCTATAGTTAATAATTCAGTTATCAGTTTCTTTTAAATTTTTGTCAATTGTGATCCTTCCTCACCTAAGTTCTTCAGTTTGTTTCTTAGTCTATGAGCTTGCATCATTGTTCAGTCTATCAGTCTATAAGTCCCTAGTGCTTACTCACTCTGTCATTTTCCAGTAAGTCCCTGCTCATTTTCTAGCTTTTTTCTGTACCTGTAGGGGTTGGTGTCATTTTCTTCAGTTATGTTACTAGTTTCAGTGTTGGGTGTCGTTTTCTTCAGTTTTGTGTGTTACCAGTTACCACATAGGTAGGTTAGTTAGTATTCATTGTTCATTCTTAATTTAGTATTCATTGTTTCGATCGTAAGTCCAACACAGCCTACAAGCACTAAGATTTAGTTATGCTTGTCTAGACAGTTTTCTTATTTATGAGTGTTCAGACCTTCAGTTGCTCCAGTCCATGTTAAGTCTTCTCAAATAAAGCTCTCAATCATAGTTTCTAGTTTGTCAAGAAATCCCAGCTAGTTTAGCAAGTTTGTTCATACAGTTTTCAGTTTATCTGCATTTTGTCATTTCACTACTTTAGCCTCATATTTATTTCTTCACGTCATTTTTTCGAGATCAGATCCATGCTGGAAATGGGTCGAATGGGGCGTCAGTGGTATCGAATCCCACCATGATCAGATACATGCTTTTGAAGCTCAGAGATACAACTCTCAGAGCAAGATAATATTTTATGGATCTGCGCCAACAAGCCTACCGACACCTGTGTCGCTTCCAACGGCTCTAGCAGCCAAGGAATGGCCTGTTTTGCGGGGCCGGGATTTAAGATAGAGCTTTTAGAAGATCATTGCTCTCGGACGCTATTCCAGTAAGATCTCTGTTCCTATCATTGTTTTTGTATTGAAGTTATTATCAGCTTTTGCATTTGTTATCATCAGTCTTGAGCACAAGTAGCATCAGTGATCGGAGGCGATGGTCATAGCAAAGCACGTCCGGAGCTCCTCCACGCAGTGTCTTCCGTCGCCGGCTCAAGGTGGAAGTCGTAGCACCGGCGGAGGTGACCGTGACGGCGTGACGATGCCCGTTCAAGGCTACTGAAGCACGGCATGCAACAACCCCGCCGCAAACAATGCCGATCCACGGCTGATCCAGTCAGAAAAAAACCCGCCCCGCCTAAAACCACCACCAAGAAGCTCCGCACCCGCACACGCGCGGGCCGCCGAGGCCAACCGTTTCGTGGGTGATGCTGATGCGTGGACGGACGGAAGGCATGGCGCGCGCGCATGTCGCTCCCTGCGCTCCCGCGCGGCCACAGCGCCATCCCTTTAAACTCAACGCCTCCCTCCTATTTTAGGACTAGCGGGAGCGCGAACTTGTGGCCCCTAGCTTCCACGCACCATGTCCCTCCTCCACGTCCGGCTCGCCGCCGCGGCGATCGCCGTCGTCGCGCTCGTGGCCGGCGGGGACGCCTACCAGCTCACCAAACCAGGCACCGTCATCTCGTACGACCGCCGCTCGCTCATGGTGGACGGACAGAGGGACATCTTCTTCTCCGGCTCCATCCACTATCCACGCAGCCCTTTCCACGAGTGGCCCGACCTCATCGCCAGGGCCAAGGAAGGCGGCCTCAACGTCATCGAGTCCTACGTCTTCTGGAACGTCCATGAACCCGAGATGGGCGTGGTAACTGTCACGCACTCCCCATCTCATTCATCTCATCGTATACCTACGTACCTGCTCATCGTCCATTCCTCCTTGGATCCATCCACGGTCGATTTCAGTACAACTTCGAGGGGAGGTACGACATGATCAAGTTCTTCAAGCTGATCCAGGAGCATGAGATGTACGCCATGGTCCGTATCGGGCCCTTTGTCCAGGCGGAGTGGAACCATGGGTTTGTTCGTCTCTTTGCTTCACATCTCAATCTCATCGTGTATTGCTCGATTTCTGGCTCATCTGCATTCACGATCTCCGTTTAATCTGTGATTTTCCTCTTCCAGAGGGCTGCCTTACTGGCTCCGGGAGGTCCCCGACATCATATTCCGCACAGACAATGAGCCTTTCAAGGTGATCAATCACACCATCAAACCACACAGAATTATTAGTTGCGGACATACCAAACTACTCCCTCCGTTCCTAAATATTTGTCTTTCTAGAGATTTCAAATGGCCACCACATACGGATGTATATAGACATATTTTAAAGTGTAGATTCACTCATTTTGCCCCGTATGTAGTCACCATTTAAAACCTCTAAAAAGACAAATATTTAGGAACGGAGGGAGTAGATGCATTTCTTTTCCTTTCTCAACGGTAAAACTAGATGCATTTCGAGAAAGAAAAAAGCTCGACGTAAATTTTGCTACATACAGAAATAATTGAAACGGCGTCCTCACCTTGGTTTTTCTATTTACATATGCAGAAGCTCATGCAGAAGTTTGTCACTCTCGTAGTGAACAAGCTCAAGGAGGCCAAGCTCTTCGCATCACAAGGAGGCCCTATCATTCTAGCGCAGGTACTGCATGCATATCTTGACCCTTTTTCTTCCTGCTGAATACTTATACCTATCATGTATGCTTTCTCAAATGAAATGCACCCTGCATTGAAAAAAAATAGATCGAGAATGAGTACCAGCACATGGAAGCGGCGTTCAAAGAAAACGGCACCAGGTACATCGAATGGGCAGCTAAGATGGCCATCAGCACCGACATCGGGGTGCCATGGATCATGTGCAAGCAGACTAAAGCTCCAGCGGACGTGGTAATTTATTAGCATGATCTGACATGTTTAAGTTTCTTTTACCATGATATAATTTATTAACCATGCTTAAGCCATAATCATGTTTTTCCCTCTCTAGATTCCTACCTGCAACGGTAGGCACTGCGGAGATACATGGCCAGGTCCAGTTGACAAGAACAAACCCCTGTTATGGACCGAGAACTGGACTGCTCAGTGAGTTCAGTTATCAATTTCACCTTGTCCATCAAGGAGAGACTGTCGGGTGCTGAATTGTTTTTTGTTGGCGTTTGCAGATACAGAGTATTCGGTGATCCTCCGTCTCAGAGATCTGCCGAGGACATTGCGTTTGCCGTGGCGCGGTTCTTCTCGGTGGGGGGCAGCATGGTGAACTACTACATGGTACCGTCCAGTAACCAACCAACCAACCAACCAACCTGTTGTTGACATGGCGTTAGGATGAAACTAGAGTATATTTCTGACAGAATCACACGGTTGCCTTGCCTGTGTGGACAGTACCACGGAGGAACAAACTTTGGAAGAACGGGTGCCTCTTTCGTGATGCCGAGATACTACGACGAGGCGCCTCTCGACGAATTCGGTAAAGCAGAGACAGATGAATCCTCTCAAACTCTGAATATGCTTAACTATGTTGATTCATGGATGAACGTTTTGGTTGGTCCAGGAATGTTCAAAGAGCCCAAGTGGGGCCATCTGAAGGACCTGCACCATGCTTTGAGGTTGTGCAAGAACGCTCTCCTCTTTGGGACCCCCTCCACGCAGCCATTGGGCAAGCTCTACGAGGTTCTTCTCTTCAGTTCTCTTGTTGCTATCTTGTTATGATCGCCGATTGACCTGACCGGTATGGTATGGTATGGTATGGTATGCAGGCGCGGGTGTTCGAGATCCCGGAGCAGAAGGTGTGCGTGGCGTTCCTGTCCAACCACAACACCAAGGAGGACGGGACGGTGACGTTCCGCGGGCAGAAGTACTTCGTGCCCCGGCGGTCTGTCAGCATCCTGGGCGACTGCAAGACGGTGGTGTTCAGCACGCAATACGTGAACGCGCAGCACAACCAGCGCACCTTCCACTTCACGGACCAGACGGTGCAGAACAATGTGTGGGAGATGTACACGGAGGGGGACCAGGTGCCCACCTACAAGTTCAGCACCGACCGGAGCGAGAAGCCCCTCGAGGCCTACAACATGACCAAGGACAAGACCGACTACCTCTGGTACACAACCAGGTACGTCTCTCCTCTACGTATTACTATAGTATCTTGCGAATGCGAATGCCAATGCCAATGTTTTGCTGGTTTGTACGGTGGGTGGCAGCTTCCTGCTGGACCCTGAGGACCTGCCGTCCAGGCTAGACATCAAGCCGGTGCTGGAGGCGAGCAGCCATGGGCACGCCATGGTGGCGTTCGTCAACAAGAAGTTAGTCGGCTGCGGCCATGGCACAAAGATGAACAAGGCCTTCAGCCTGGAGAAGCCCATCGATGTCAAGGTCGGCATCAACCACATCTCCATCCTGTCCAGCACGCTGGGGTTGCAGGACAGCGGGTCCTACCTGGAGCGCCGGCAGGCCGGCGTGCACTCGGTCACCATCCAGGGCCTCAACACGGGGACGCTGGACCTCACCAGCAACGGGTGGGGTCACATCGTGGGCCTGGACGGCGAGCGCAAGCAGGCTTTCACGGAAAAGGGCGGCGAGGTGCAGTGGCAACCCGCGGTGTTCGACAAGCCGCTCACGTGGTACCGGCGGCGCTTCGACATGCCCAGCGGGGAGGACCCCGTGGTGATCGACATGAACCCGATGGGCAAGGGCATCCTGTTCGTCAACGGCGAAGGGCTGGGGCGATACTGGAGCTCGTACAAGCACGCGCTGGGGCGGCCGTCGCAGTACCTGTACCACGTGCCGCGGTGCTTCCTGAAGCCGACGGGGAACGTGCTGACCATCTTCGAGGAGGAAGGCGGGCGGCCGGACGCCATCATGATCCTGACGGTGAAGCGCGACAACATCTGCAGCTTCATCTCGGAGACCAACCCCGGGCACGTACGGTCGTGGGAGACCAAGGACAGCCAGCTGACGATGGTGGCGGACGACCTGAAGCCGCGGGCGGTGCTGACGTGCCCGGAGAAGAAGATGATCCAGCAGGTGGTGTTCGCCAGCTACGGGAACCCGCTGGGGATCTGCGGCAACTACACGTTTGGCAACTGCCACACGCCCAAGGCCAAGGAGATTGTGGAGAAGGCGTGCGTGGGGAAGAGGAGCTGCGTGCTGGCCGTGTCGCACGAGGTGTACGGCGGGGACCTCAACTGCCCGGGCACCACGGCCACGCTGGCCGTGCAGGCAAAGTGCTCCAAGAGGCAGAGGACCGCCGAGCAATAAGTAACCTAAGCTCACATATGTACTGCTATGTAGATGATCTCATCACCTTGACCTTTTTGCCTTTTTCATGCTTGTTGTTTGGGATACATGTTGTACTCAGGTTGTTGATTCCTGCGAATTGTTCTAGGAGTAGATGGAGCGCTGAGATGAGAAGCAACATGGATGGAAATCAATCGATCCATTTGATTTGCTGAATAATTTTCTCTTCTCAAGCTGAAAATAATAATCTTCTTGGTGATTTCCTTCCCCTGATGCCCGGGGAAACAAAAAAATATTGGGGCGTTGCGAGAATCGAACTCGCGACCTCTCGCACCCAAAGCGAGAATCATACCACTAGACCAAACGCCCTAATTAAAATTCGGTGTCATTGGAAACTATATATTTCGTTCTTTCTCGATGAACGGACGATGAGAGAAGAGATGAAGGGGAATTCTTTGGCTCCATTCTCCCAAACTTTAACCCTCATTCGTTTGACAATCCTAGCTAGCCTGGTGCCACAAGAATGCTATACTAACCGAAGAGCCATTTTGTTTTGCAGATAGACGGAAGCAAAATCCTATTTTGTTAGAAACAAATTTGGTTACCAATATAATCGTTACAACTAAAATTAACCAGTTGGCATGAAAACATTATCGATGCAATATCAGTTCGTCAGTCCAACAAAAAAAATCAGTTTGTTAGAATGAAAACTTTGGGCACAAGTTATAAAAGAAGTCATTGTCTCCAAAGCAAATTCTCAAGTCGGTGGAAATAAGTTCAAGTATTGTAAACAAAACAATGGTTATTAAACTGAATATTTTTACCCAGGTTAACTCTCCAAGGAGATAAAACCCTACACCTTGCTTATGTTTTATTACGTTGGAATGTGTACAGGGTACATGTAAACGACCAAGAGATTTTTAAGATATATCTACGAGCCTAGCAAACTGGGGGAGGTCCTTGGGTACATGAATCCTAGTCCGTTTCGTACAGAGAGGTAGATCCTTCCACAAAACTCTCGGTTTATTGAATATTTCTAGGGTGATAAGCCTTTTCTCATGAATGATTGCATATTGAGGTGAATTTTTTCCATGTACGTTTTATGTGAGAGGGAATTTAAGCATCACACTTGGCCTTTGCATAACTAAGTTGCACACAGTCAAAAAATTTCCCTCTCACATAAAGAAAAAATAAAAAGG